TTAATCCGTTCCTGGAAGTGGGACTATTATCGAAATAGACGATGTTTCGAATCAATTTTCCCCATAAGAAACAATGTAAATCCAATTAATTCGTTCCAGACACCCAGAAGTATCAACAACAATTTTTTTTTTTACCTAAAAGATAGATTTACATGCACAAAAGAATGAACATTCAACATGACAGTTACCTTTATTGAAGGCTGTTGTTGATGAATGGAAGACAGGAGGAGGAGAGAGGGAAGAGAGGTTATTGTTTGGAAGGGGAATCCCCCTCCATAAGGACTCTAGGTCACTTCAGGGGTAACTTCCCTAGCATAAATATAGAAAAAAATTCCAAATAAATGTAAAGCACTAACAAAATGTATAAATGAACATTGGTAATAGGGGTAGTTGATGAGTGGAACGGTCTGCCTAGTAGGGTGATTGAAGCTAAAAATTGGGTAGTTTTAAATTTAGGTTGGATAAATACACGAGTGAGAGGGGTTGGATTTGAGTCGGACTTGCACCTGAGCTTATTGCTTGGGTAGCATTTGTTCTGTTAGTGGGTTGGATTTGTGAAGGACCGGCCTAGTATGGGCCAGCAGGCCTGTTGCAGTGTTCCTACTTTCTTAAGGTCTTATGTTCTTATTTAACATCACACTTACCAGTAGGGTGATCGAGGCTAGGACCTTGGGTAGCTTTAAGAAGATATTGGACAAATATATGAGTGGGAGGAGCTAAGTTTGATTTGTGTCATTGGGTACGGGAGTAAATTCTTGGGTAGCTTTGGGTAGAGGTCATTTTGATAAGGACCTGCCTTGTATGGGCCAGTAGACCTGCAGTGTTCTTCCATTGTTATGTTCTAAGTGGGAAGGATTGTAAAGGACCTGCCTAGTATGGGCCAGCAGGCCTACTGCAGTGTTCCCCCTTTCTTATGTTCTTATTGGAGACTTGTTTGTGTGAGGTAGGGATGGCAAGTTTATTGTTGGAGAATATGACACTAATATCAACTCTACAGCTTATTTATCTATCACAATTCAACTAATATGACAAACAATATTAATAACATAGAAACATGGAATATACTCTAGAATGAATAAAATAAGTCATTACGTATGTCAGGAGAGGTGTTGTGTTGTGTTGTTGTTGGGTATATAAGGGCCACTGAGAGTAAGCTGTCCATAATGGTGGTGAAGCAGCAGCTGAGGCGGCGGTGTTTTCTGTAGCCCTATATAACTCCAACAACATTGGAGGAGTTGGTAGAATTGCTGAATCATTAAAGAAGGAACCCTCTACCACCATCACTACGACCTTCTACCACTATTATAACTGTTACCACCATCACTACTACCTTCTACCACCATCACTACAACCATCAACCACTATCACAACTGCTTCCACTCTACCACCACCACCTTTTTATTTTTCTATAAACTTTTTCATAAATTATGTGTTTCTCACATTCTTTACCAAAGGGCTGGCACTAGAAGCTTTCTTTGGAGCCATGGTAGCTTATTTAGCACTTGCAAGCACTAAAATCAATGGAATATTATGAAATATTTCGTAGGAGCATGTGAGGGGACTGTCGCTCACTGGTAAACAATGGCACACTGGCTGGGAAGGCAGGCCCAGGTGGCTCAGAGCGTGAGTACGCGTCCCAGACAAAGGATGATTAGCGAGTTAATGGACCATTTACAAGCCAATGTTTAGACGAAATAACGGGACTATTTCCGAAATGGACAATTTTCAGGCCGGATGATTATTGAGGGACCACTGTATATCATATCTCACTTATTTACTCTCTTTTTCTTAAAATGTGTACAGTGGAATCCCGAGTTTCAAACTTAATCCGTTCCAGGAGCTAGTTCTAAAGTTGAAACGTTCGAAACTTGAAGCAATATTTCCCATAAGAAATAATGTAAATACAAATAATCCGTTCCAGAAACCCAAAAATATTCACAAAAAATACATTTTATATAGATTAATTGTAGTTTTACATACACACAGTAAGCATACATAGTACAATTAGTAATAGATACCCCTCAGGGAAGGTTCCTTGATGTTGGTGAGGGGATCTTGATTTAGGGAATTGGATCTGTGCTCCAGTTCTCCGAATTAAGCCTGAATGCCTTCCACATTCCCCCCCCCAGGCGCTGTATAATCCTACGGGTTTAGCGCTTCCCCATTATAATAATAATAATAGTAATAGATAAACATTTAAATAAACATATAAAATAACATTTTTACTTACCTTTATTGAAGATTGTTGATGGCATCTGGAAGATAGGGAGGAGGAGTAAGAGACCACTTATTGTTTGGAAGGGGAATCCCCTTCCATAAAGATTTTAGGTAACAAGTCCTTATCTGGGGTTACTTCCCTTCTTTAAGATTTCCCTAAAATGGGACATGGTTCTGTTGCTGATCATGTTGCAGAGATGGCTTGTTTCAGCTTGCTCAGGGTGATATTTTTCAGCAAATACCTGCACCCTATTCCACATTGCACAAATCTCCTTAATCTCTGAAGAAGGCACCATCCACCACCATCCACCACCCACCACCACCCACCACCATCCTCCACACCACCACCCACCACCATCCTCCACCACCACCACCCACCACCATCCTCCACCACCACCACCCTCCACCAGTACCATCCACCAGTACCATCCACCAGTACCATCCACCACCACCTCCACCATCCACCAGTACCATCCACCAGCACCATCCACCAGCACCATCCACCACCAGCACCATCCACCACCAGCACCATCCACCACCAGCACCATCCACCACCAGCACCATCCACCACCAGCACCATCCACCACCAGCACCATCCACCACCATCCACCACCAGCACCATCCACCACCATCCAGCACCATCCACCACCATCCACCACCACCACCACCACCACCATCCACCACCCACCACCACCCTATCCACTACCACCATCCCCAATACCATCCACCACCACCACCACCACCTACCAATACCACCCACCATCACCACCATCATCATCATCCACCAATACCATCCACCACCACCACCATCCACCAATACCATCCACCACATCCACCACCACCATCCACCACCACCACCCCCACCACCACCACCCCACCACCACCATCCACCACCACCATCCACCACCACCACCACCACCATCATCACCCACCACCACCACCCACCACCACCATCCACCACCACCACCCACAACCACCATCCCCCCACCCCCATCCACCACCACCACCTACCCCCACCACCACCTACCACCACCACCACCACCACCACCACCACCTACCACCACCACCACCTACCACCACCACCATCCACCACCTCCACCATCCACTGCCACCATCCACCAATACCATCCACCACCCCCCACCACCCAAACCAATACCATCCACCACCACCACCTCCACCATACCATCCACCACCACCATCCACCAATACCATCCACCACCACCATCCCCAATACCATCCACCAATACCATCCACCACCACCATCCATCATTACCATCCACCCCACCACTATCCTTCAACCATCCACCACCACCACCATCCACTAATACCGTCCACCAATACCATCCCCCAATACCATCCACCACCAATACCATCCACCAATACCATCCACCACCATCCCCCAAATACCATCCACCACCATCCACCAATACCATTCTCCACCACCACCATCCACCAATACCATCCACCCCCCATCCCCCACCACCACCACCATCCACCACCATCATCCACCACCACCATCACCACCACCACCACCCACCACCACCCACCACCACCCACCACCACCCACCACCACCCACCACCACCACCACCACCACCACCATCATCCACCACCACCACCATCCACCACCACCATCATCCATTAGTACCATCCACCAATACCATCCACCACAACCATCCACCAGTACCATCCACCACAACCATCCACCAGTACCATCCACCACCACTATCCACCAATACCATCCACCACCATCCTCCACCACCATCCACCACTACCACCACCCACCATCACCACCATGGTAGCTTATTTCACAGTCTCACTTAATAAACAAAAACCAAACACAATGAATTAATAGTGAAATGTTTGAATGAGCATGCAGGTTAGTGTTCACTCAAGCATAAACAAAGCCAGACTGGCTCGCGAGGCCTGCATGGGGACGCGGGCAGGTGGACAGGTGTAGTACACGGTTTGATACTCAGGACAAAATTGATTTGAAAAAAACAGTCGAAACTCAAAGCATTCGATAGTCGATGTGTTCGAAACTCTGGGTTCCACTGTATTAGCTATTACCAAACCTCTTTCTATACATAGTTCAATTTTGCCCCTACCACTCCCCCATAATTATCATTTACCCCTGGCATTTCAAACTTACCTACTGCACCCTCTGCAACAGTTTCTCTCACATTACCATTTACGTCACCACAACAGCAATTTTCTCATGTGGTTAAGAATTCCTTATCCTTAAACGTTCACTTAACACCTAAAATCTCTCTCTGTCCTTTATATTCCTCTTTTCCCCAGATTTATAAATACTTACTGTTACCCACTTCTCATATCCCACCCTTATTTTAATCCTCTTCTCTTTCCATAATTGAATATGTATAATATTACTGCTACTTCTTCCTTAGCTCTCTTTCTCTCGGATACTCCTAACTTGTTCCCATTCTTTTCATTTATAACATTCATAATCAGTTCTTTCTTATCTACACTACATCGACACATACAAACATCCCAGACCTACCCTGTGGATGAGTGACTAGACAGCAAGTACCAGAGACAGTGAAGCTATGTTTGTGGTATTTTTGAAGGAGAGGCCAGCATGTTACAGACTGGAGGGTCACTTGAATTGTGATGCCTGAACATTTCCAGCAAGACACCCTACCTTGGTGGAACATGGCCAGTGTGTTAAAAATATACAGACTGTTGCTACTGAAGTGTTTCATGAAGTCCTTTACATTATCATAATATTCCAATTTAACCTCTTTTCCCACCCATCACTGGCAGGTCAGGATTTAGCTTTGGTACAGTCACAGCAGAACCATTGAAGTTCCTGCCAGTGTTATTGGAGGAGGTGAGGGCACTGGGAGGCAGTGTGAAGATGTGTCGGCTCACATCCTTAGCAGAGGCAGCTGCAGAAGCAGACATCGTCATCAACTGCAGCGGTCTTGGTGCCCGGAAACTAGTGCCTGACCCAGAGGTTTACCCCTGCAGAGGCCAAGTCATGAGGGTCAGTCATGTCATGACATAAAAGTACAGTAGGGCCCCAGTGTACAGCATTAATGAATTCCAGAAATTTTTTTGCAAGTCAGGTGTTTGGAACTCTGAGCGTATTTTCCCATGGATACCAGTGATATAATTGGGAGGGGAAGAGACAGGGAAGGAGATGGGGTGGAGAGAGAGAGAGCATGTTTGTACAGCATAATGACATCAGTGAAATAAAGTCAATTGACCAAATAAAATTGCTTGCCCACAGTTACCTCCAGCTTCATCCTCTTCCTTACTTGTATGTCTCATAACAATAAAAATTCTTTAAAATGAGCTAATGTAGGTAAGATCTCTTACCTTGTAAATAAAGTTAGGAACCTAAAACCTAATCTTGTAAAACCCTTGTCAGAGAGAGATAAGGGGGGGGGGGAGAATGAATGAGAATAAGAATACTGACTGTATGGTCAATATATTTGAGTTACCTACATGTAATAGTACAAAAATAACACAAATATTTTTGATCTGCTAGAAACCCTCCTCTGGCACTACTAAACTAGTTGAGAGGAATCCCTTACTTAGGCAGACATGTCAGGTGCACACCACAGAGGCCAGCCTACTGTCCAGGCCAACCAATCTGATTTTTTTTTTTTTTTTTTTTTTTTTTGTGTGTGTGTGTGTGTGTGTGTGTGTGGTGTGGTGTGTGGTGTGTGTGTGTGTGTGTGTGTGTGTGTGCATGCATGCGCAAGTTTCATCATGATGTCCAAGTGACCCATGGTGGGTCTCTCTCACGTGTGACAGTGTCCTCAATTGCTTCACCTCCCCTCTGGCTCCAGTATATATCTCAGCCCACATGCGTCTGCCTTATTTTTATCAGTGCTAAGGGAACGAACACACTCTGTTAACCCTTTTCTTGCTGGGACCCCCAAAATTAAAAGTGCTGACAATGTTGTGATTTAAAAAAAAAAAAAAAAAAAGTAATTTTTTCTTCTGAAATGGTAGAGAATTTTATCTGGAGGTAATGACGCTAAAATACTAAATTTGATGGAAAATTTAAAGAGTTGCGCAGGTACAAATTTGGCAGTTTGGGTTCAATTTTTACCAGCGATTTCACCCACTTTGAATCCTATTTTAAGCAAATTCCATAGCAAAGGAAGGCATACTTGCTATTTTGCTGGTATGCATTCCATTCTATTGATTAAGCTCAAGAAACTGTCCATTAAACTATCAGAACAGAATTTGGAAACTTGGTCAATTTTACACAGAATTCAAAAAATTCCAGTTTGAAAACAGAGCCCAAAATAAACGCTTCATTCCATTATCACACAAAATAAATTTTTTTACCCCATTTCTCAGATAACAAAATATACCCCTGAATGGTGGATCATGGTTTAGGGTGCCCCAGTAATTGAAGCAGACCTAGTAAAAATCCATAAAACAGACTGGAGGCTGTAGGTGGACCTTATCCTTCCTTAGAAAAATCATCACAAATTGAATCTTGTCGCTATTCAAACTATGTACTTCCACTCCTGAAACTGCAGCTGATATGAAGGAACAATTAATAATACAATAAAGTTATCCTAGAAAGCACTTCATAGTTGCTATTTTAAACCAGACACAAGATCAGAGGCTTGCTTTTTCCATCATGCTTCATGTGGGGCAAGATTTTTTTTTTTATACTGTGCACAGTTGCTACACAAGCCCATTTTCTTATGTTGAGGCCAAAATTTACCACTCGCAGGATATTTGAGAGCACTGTGCTTTAAAAGTAGGTCTACGTGAGTGACACTGGTGTTAATAATAGATTTAGGCAAGAGATGGTGAAAGAGTTAAGGCTGAGCACTTCAAAACGTTCCCTCCAATTCTTTGACTGTATCCAGTAAATAATCTCTATATTGGATTGAAGAAGCCAGAGGTTAGTGAAACATCTTTGTAAAGATACCCAGGTGTTGTATTGGTGTCTTATTAACTTCAATATTGTGTATAATTAATGTAATGATTGTGAGCTCTCTTTTTCCAGTTAAAGGAGAACCCTTTGATTTATAGGTAAATTATCTAGGTAGTTAATATTTGGATAAAATATCTAAAAGACAGTATTGAAGATGGAAGTATGAAACTACAAAAGGTTGTTTTGAGAAACCAAACCAAACTGTAGAACCGCATGTATAAAAAAATGTAATTATTAGCTTTTTTATGAGAATTTTTGAACACAGTTACTTTGCAATTTTACTGATTAAAATAGTGGAATCTCAAATATCGAACTTTCTTCATTCCAGACGGCTGTTCGAGTGCCGTTACCGAACGAATTTATTCCCATCAGGAATAATGTAAATTAAATTAGTTCATTTCAGACCCTCAAAAATACACTTATAAAAGCACTTACAAAAATACACTTACATAATTGGTTGAGTTGGGAGCAGTTCGATATTTGAGGTTATACTGTAGATTATAAAATTTTAATGTTTTTCTTTTTTAGGTGCGGGCACCATGGGTGGGGAGGTACCTGTGTGATGCATCCAAGAAGTCATTTGCCTACATCATCCCCAAGTAAGTCCCAAGGAGATGCTGCCCCCTATGTTATGTATGCTTGCTTTACTTAATCTGTACTGATATAAAAATTCATAAAACTCATCAGTAGCCAACTTACATGTATTTCTGTACTAATAGCCTAGCCTAATAATAATAATTCTGCATTCCTCAAGCTCTGGTCTACCTTGGGGTAAATTTATACATGGTTGATTATCAGATATCATGTTAAAAATGGTGTAATAAAAAATGGGTGTAAACTTAATTGAAAATAGGGTTATGTTCATTAGTACCCTCAAAAAAGTCAACACAATTTTTTAAAGATCTCTAAATTGTAAAAAATTGACAAAAATGTAATTGTATGTCGGCATTAAAAAAAAATTCTTCTGAAATGTTAGAGTCTTTTTTTTCTGAAGGTAATGATGCCAAAAATTTGAAATTTGCTAAAAAACTTAGGGAATTATGCAGGCACAAAGCATCCTGTGTACAATTTACACCAGCAATTTTGCCCACTTTGAGTCCTATTTTAAGCTGAAATTGACCAGATTCCAAGATATTTTGCTAATTTACCTTCTGTTCTATTGATTGAGGTCAAGAAACTGCCCATTTGATTATCAGAACTACATGAAGTGCACAGAAGTGGGTAATTCAGCCAATTTTACACAAAATTAAAAAAAAGTCTAGTTTAAAAACATAGTTTAAAATAAACACTGTAGAAGTCCCCAGCCACTAAAGCAACATTTCCTCTGCTCATTAATCATATACTCAGGCCTCTCCTGTATTACACTTACCATCCATTTTGAATTCATCATCACATAAATCAAAGATTTATTATTCCTTGGATAATAAAATATAACCAGGAATGATTGGTCATGATTTACACATAATAATTGAATCAAACTTAGTAAAACACCATAAACCAGATTAAAAAAAATAGTAAAAAATCAAATATTTCAGCTACTTTGAGCCAAATTTCAAAGTATACTTCCACTTCTGAAACCCCAAAACCCATCTCTGTTTCAGTAATATTTCTTCCATTCTGTCAAATAGTACTTAGAAACAGCAAATAAACCACCCTAGAAAACACTTCAAAGTTGTTATTTTAAACCAAACACAAACGTCAGAGGTTTCCTTTTTTCATTATGCACTGCATGGGGCAGGATTATTTTTATACTGTGCACACTCATTCCACAGACACTCTCTCCTATCTAGGCCAAAATTTACTGCTCACAGCTCTGAGGGAGCTCAGCTCAAAACTTAGATGTACATAAGCGACACTGGTGTCAGTAGCATAGATCTATGTACGAGATAGTGAAAGGGTTAATAATAATAAATAAATTACTCACTTATATATGAACATCTATGAAAATTTAGACACATGTGCAACATTTGGGTATCTTTATTGTAGACGTTTCGCCATCCAGTGGCTTTATCAATACAAATTCAAGGACATGATTGGGAGACAGAAGAACTATATACAAAAGATGAGGTAATCAGTTCCTCAGCCTTGGAGCTGGTTTGAAGAGCACCGTAGTCATGAAGGTTCTGGAGCAGAGTCAAGAAGGCTGGCATGTATATATTAGCGTCAGGTGGAAAGGGATGGGTAGCAGATGAGGGTATAGTCACTGGTAGGCGGGATTCCCCAGTGGAAGTAGGAAATACCCAAGGGATGGTTAGTGGCAGTATATAGTAGCAGCCAAGAAGGTTATGTAGATGGCCTCTGAACCAAGATTCCATGATATTGCAGTGTCTGACAAGTTGTACATGAATGATATACGATACCGACAAGAAGTAGGTCATACCCATCCCTAAGGTATGACCTACTTCCACTAGGGAATCCCACCTACCAGTGACTATGCCCTTGTCTGCTACCCATCCCTTTCCACCTGACGCCAGTATATAAGCGCCAGCCTTCTTGCCTGTGCTCAAGAATCTTCGTGACTACGGTGCTCTTCACACCAGCTCCAAGGCTGAGGGACTGATTACCTCATCTTTTGTATATAGTTCTTCTGTCTCCCAATCATGTTCTTGAATTTGTATTGATAAAGCCATTGGATGGCGAAACATCTACAATAAAGATACCCAGATGTTGCACGTGTCTAAATTTTCATCTTGTCAGTATTGTATACCATTCATGTACATGAACATCTATATTACTGGATTTCTTATACAGTAGTCTCCATTATCTACAGCTGTTTTCAATCCCTATCATATTTGTGATCATAGAACTAAATTACAGGGTGGCATCACTGATACTCTGACAGATCTGTAACAAGTTCTCCTGAAATAAGGGTATTCTTAAGAGGTCTTCTTGTGAGTATTTCTTATAAATGAGTCACTTCTGTATGTAGTAATGTCATTTTGTGCTCATGATGAGTTAGAAATTACATTAGTCATAAGAATCATTTGTTCCTTGGGTACAGTCAATTTGTAGTACAGTAATGTGAGATAAGTTCATTGACTTTGCATTTTTTTTTTCCAAAATAGTGATCTTATATTTCCTGCCATTGATAAGACTGATCTAATCTCATGCCCCTCATAAGGTAAAAATTTTCTCAGCTAGCTCAGAAATAAATAATGGATTGTAGCTGATAAGAGTATTTCTAACTTCATATGAGATTGCTCAAACATATTTATAGTTGTTATTCAAGTTTATTTTACACTTGTACATAACAGCACACTTGAATGCAAATCATGTGGTGCCTGATAACTTTTAAGACTATTCCTTAAAATCTTTCAGCCATACAGTCATCAAGGAATAACTGGCTTAGCTTCTGACTAAACAATTTACAGCAGGAACTGTGAATAGTCATTCAGTCTTGAATATATAGAAGGGGGGTAAAGGAGGTTTTGTGGGCGAGGGGCTTGGACTTCCAGCAAGAGAGTGTTAGATAGGAGTAAATGGAGATGAATGGTTTTTGGGACCTGATGGAGTGTGAGCAAGTAATATTTTGTGAAGGGATTCAGGAAAACTGGTTAGCCGGACTTTAGTTCTGGAAATGGGAAGTACAATACCTGCACTTTACCGGAAGAGTTCAGGATATTGGCAGTTTGGAGGGACATCTAAACTGTCATATCTGAGCACCTCTTCAGAGACAGTGTTTATGTATGAATGATGGTGAAAGTGTTGAATGATAAAAAAATTTTCTTTTATATATGGTAAAAATAGGTTTTTCTTTTTGGGTCACCCTGCCTCATTGGGAAACAGCCTGCATGTTAAAAAAAAAAATTACATTCAGTTCTTTCTTCTTTTTTGAGGATTTTGTATAAGGTAATTCATAGAACCCTGACATTTGTTATCATATATAAATTTCTGTCTCTTATGACAGGTGTGTTGGCTGTTTTGCAGTTTTGTTGTTAGAGGTCTTAGCAGAATGATTGTTAGATGTGTTTTTTTTTACTATTGTAGATCCACATCTTCATTCCCATAGTAATTACAAGACTGGTGTTGTTCAGGTCCTATTTTAGCAAGCAGAATGTCAGCAGTGTCCTGTTTATGTAAACAATTTTTCCAGCATCTCAAGTGTTGACTTAGTGTAATACATAGCTTATTCGTAATTAGCAGTAACAAATTATAACTACAGGAAAAATTTGTGTACTTTCCTTGTTTGTGCCAAGAATATGCTTCTCAGTGTCAGGCCATTGCTTATCTAGTTATGATTCTCTTCTTACTTTAGTTTTTTCTTGGCTGTCCCCAGTTTATACTGATCTGATGCCATCTTGATATTCTATAAAACTAATAATTAAAGTTAAGAGCTCCACAGTTATCATTATACAGAACTGGCAGCTATGACGTCATATAGTAACTGATAGTAACTGTGGACATAGTAATAGTTACAAACATCAGCATGCATTATCACAGTATATATATAACTGAGTAGGTAGTAGGTTGGTAGACAGCAACCACCCAGGGAGGTACTACCGTCCTGGCAAGTGAGTGTAAAACAAAAGCCTGTAGTTGTTTTACATGATGGTAGGATTGCTGGTGTCCTTTTTTCTGTCTCATGAACATGCAAGATTTCAGGTATGTCTTGCTACTTCTATTTACACTTAGGTCACACTACACATACATGTACAAGCACATATATACACACCCCTCTGGGTTTTCTTCTATTTTCTTTCTAGTTCTTATTCTTGTTTATTTCCTCTTATCTCCATGGGGAAGTGGAACAGAATTCTTCCTCCGTAAGCCATGCGTGTTGTAAGAGGCGACTAAAATGCCGGAGCAAGGGGCTAGTAACCTCTTCTCCTGTATATATTACTAAATGTAAAAGGAGAAACTTTCGTTTTTCCTTTTGGGCCACCCCGCCTCGGTGGGATACGGCCGGTGTGTTGAAAGAAAGAAAGATATATAACTGAGTATCCTAAAAGACTAAATCAAATCACTTATCACACTTCACATCTATATAAACACTTAACCAAGTTGCATTAACTTAAAAACAAACATTTCAGTATCGTACAAGTCTTTATATGAATGACACAAAAATTACAAAGATTTGAGTAAGTTATCTGACTGGAGCCTTTTTTATTCTGGAGGAAAAGAAGGAATACTGTAACAATATTCTGTATCACAATACAATACCGTTCTTCTACCAAGCATGTAACATCTCTAACTAGCTGCACCAAATTTATTGTCTGTTTCATTAGCTGGAATGGTTATAGTGTTTTAAATTTATTTTATATGTTGGTCTTTTACTAATGCTTCTGTATTTTTCAGCCTGGCATGAAGTATGCTACTCCTGGGTCATTCTTACTTAGCCCTTTGACTGTTTTGGTCATACATATACAGTGGACCCCCGCATACCGTTGGCATCACATACCGTTTATTCCGCATACCGCTCACTTTAATCGCAAATATTTTGCCTCTCATACCGCTCAAAAACCCGCTCACCGCTGTTCGTCCGAGACGCGTCCAATGTGCGCCTTAGCCAGCCTCACATGTTCCGCCGGTGGCATTGTTTACCAGCCAGCCTCCGCGGTAGCATCCAAGCATACAATCGTAACATTTCGTATTATTACAGTGTTTTTGGTGATTTTATCTGGAAAATAAGTGACCATGGGCCCCAGGAAAGCTTCTAGTGCCAACCCTACAGCAATAAGGGTGAGAATTACTATAGAGATGAAGAAAAAGATCATTGATAAGTATGAAAGTGGAGTGTGTGTCTCCGAGCTGGCCAGGTTGTATAATGAACCCCAATCAACCATCGCTACTATTGGTGGTACAGCTGCTGCTGCTGCTGCACTGTCAGCTGCTGCTGCTGCTGTAGCATTGTCTGCTGCTGCTGCTGCTGCTGTAGCATCGTCTGCTGCTGCTGTAGCATCATCTGCTGCTGCTGTAGCATCGTCTGCTGCTGCTGTAGCACTGTTGTTGGTGTGGCTTATTGAGAATATACCAAGAAACAATTAACCCAGAGGATTTGCCACCCAGGATAACCCAAAAAAGTCAGTGTCATCGAAGACTGTCTAACTTATTTCCATTGGGGTCCTTAATCTTGTCTCCCAGGATGCAACCCACACCAGTCGACTAACACCCAGGTGAACAGGGAAAAATGCCTGGAACTAGTGCTCATATTGGTGAATTTAAAGCCAGCAAAGGTTGGTTTGAGAGATTTAAGAATCATAGTGACATACACAGTGTGATAAGGCCTGTTCTGGAAGAAAATGCCAAACAGGACCTAGAGTACTCAGGAGGAAAAGGCACTCCCAGGACACAGTGTCTCATCAGTCATTGCTGCATCTTCATAAAGGTAAGTGTCATTTATTCTTCATTTAGTAGAGTAGTACATGCACAATATATACTGTGCATGTACTACTCTACTACTGTGCATGTATCCTTCTCTTTGTGTGTAGGAAAATGTATATTTCATGTGGTAAAATTTTTTTTTTCATACTTTTGGGTGTCTTGCACGGATTAATTTGATTTCCATTATTTCTTATGGGGAAAATTCATTCGCATACCGATTATTTCGCATACCAATGAGCCCTCTTGCACGGATTAAAATCGGTATGCGGGAGTCCACTGTACTCATAAATTCTAGCGGCTTCAAATCAAGCAGGAGAAAGCTGGTAGGCCCACATGTGAGAGAATGGGTCTGTGTGGTCAGTGTGCACCATACAAAAAAAAATCCTGCAGCACGCAGTGCATGATGAGAAAAAAAACTGACCATTTTTTTTAATTAAAATGCTGATTTTGTGGTCTATTTTCGTGTAGTGTTTATGGTTGTATTCTCGTTTTCTTGGTTTCATTTGATAGAATGGAAAACATATTATAGAAATAGAGGTGATTTTGATTGGTTTTACTATGAAACAAACCTTGAAATGGAGCTCAAAATACGTAGGGGAAATGTTTGATTTTTGCCGATGTTCAAAAGTAAACAAATGATGTCATTTTCCAATAAATGTCCAAGTAGCCATTCTAATATGCAGTCATGAATGGGGTGGCATTATTTATACAATTATTACAATATTGCAGTAGTCTGCATAACAGTAAATCTTCTATTTTTTGTTTGCATAAAAATTCAAAATACAAAGCAAGAGTAATATCAGAGGGGCCTGGAGACATGACTGATGAACAAAGAAAATGTTATTTTAGAGCCAGGAATGTCTGCATTGTTCATTCTGGACCCTGTTTTGAAATTGTCATATTTTCTAATTTTCGTGAAATTGGCCAAATTGCAAATTTCTGACCATGTTATTGGGTAGTTGAAATCGGTAAATGGGCAGTTTCTTGTACTCAGTCGATAGAAAAAATGGAGTTCTAAAGAAATAGCTATGACTTCGGTCGACTGGAACAATGGAATTAGCTGAAAATAGGGCTCAAAGTGGGCGAAATCGCCGATTTATAAATGTCGTTAACTTCACAAGAGTGTAATTCCGTCAGTTTTCCATCAAATTTCGTTGTTTTGGTGTCATTACAATCAGGAAAAGATTCTCTATCATTTCATAAGAATTTTTTTTTGGGGGGGGGGAATTTTGCGACACCAGGAGACACCTCAGGATTTGGGGTTGCGACAGTCAAGGGGTTAAATATATAGAGTTTAGACCAACTTCACAGCAACATGTATTATTTTCATTAGTACGTTAGTCCTGCATGCAATAGTAATTACAGCATACTATTGTTATTTATATTATTATTATTTTTGTATTATCATTATGGTAGCTTGGAGACAGTGGTACTGGGTGGGACCAACCAAGACCATGACTGGCGGCTGGAAGTGGACCCTACCGACTCACAGACCATCTGGGACAATTGTACAGCCCTCATGCCCTCATTAAAGGTTAGTGGACCCTCTCTTGGTCCATATTTCTTACTTATGGCATATAATCCTCACATTTTGCTTTTTCCTTGTCTGTAGCCCTCCTTGCTTCTCCTCTGTATTAATTAAGCAATGGTTGATCATTGTCCTTGGCCTTCTCATAAGGTCTGTAACCCACCTTCTTATATTAAGTCTTATACTTTCACTCAGTCACTACCACTTCCTCTATCATTATCTCCAACCCTTCTTTAAATTCTCTATCTCTCACATGTTTCCCCATAGCTTCTTTGTCACTGTCTGTAGCCCTCACTTTACCCTGTAAACTGAGAGTTTTTTAAAGTTTTCTCTGAAACAATGTTAATGTCTTGCCTAATTTTTCTTTTCTTTTTCTTTTTAATCAAATTATTATGAATGCAGGTAGCAATTTCAAAGCCTGTTGCACCTGGCTATAACTCGTCTTCAGTCAAGAACAACCAGACAATTAAAGGCAAAGGCAAACATATGGGGAACTAGTTTTTTCTTTGCCGGTATATTCCTTCACCAGTGGAGATGTCCTGTCTAAGGGCAATGTGTGGTGTAAATATTATGCAGAAAATTCAGAGTGTGGAAATTAGGAAAAGGTGTGGAGTTAATAAAAGTATTAGTCAGAGGGCAGAAGAGGGGTTGTTGAGGTGGTTTGGTCATTTAGAGAGAATGGATCAAAGTAGAATGACATGGAAAGCATATAAATCTATAGGGGAAGGAAGGCGAAGTAGGGGTCATCCTTGAAAGGGTTGGAGAGAGGGGGTAAAGGAGGTTTTGTGGGCGAGGGGCTTGGACTTTCAGCAAGCGTGCGTGAGCGTGTTAGATAGGAGTGAATGGAGACGAATGGTACTTGGGACCTGACAATCTGTTGGAGTGTGAGCAGGGTAATATTTAGTGAAGGGATTCAGGGAAACCGGTTATTTTCATATAGTCGGACTTGAGTCCTGGAAATGGGAAGTACAATGCCTTCACTTTAAAGGAGGGGTTTGGGATATTGGCAGTTTGGAGGGATATGTTGTGTATCTTTATAGGTATATGCTGCTAAACTGTTGTATTCTGAGCACCTCTGCACAAACAGTGATAATGTGTGAGTGTGGTGAAAGTGTTGAATGATGATGAAAGCATTTTCTTTTTGGGGATTTTCTTTCTTTTTTGGGTCACCCTGCCTCAGTGGGAGACAGCCGACTTGTTAAAAAAAAAAAAAAATAGCAGTATAGCAACAGTAAGCCAGAGAGCAAAGAGCCATTCATAACAGGAAGTTTACACCTTAGAATAGACAAGAGAGTATGAGTCAGCATCTGACCCTACAGCTGAGTGGTCAAGCACAACATCACCTCGGTTAAGGGGTGGGAGGGGGGGTAGCAGCTCTGATACTGTTGGTTGGTTGACTTGGACAATTAATAGAGCAGTGAGGCTCTAGAACTGCTATATCCTGAATTGCCAGTTCACTGGTCGAAAGGGCATGCCAGTGGGTGTGTGATGGATATCAAATAAATTGTAATATATTTATGTATTGGTGGATAAAAGGTTGATGGGTAGGCTCCAGGATGTACATGTTTATAGAGGGGCAACTGATATATCGGATCATTATTTAGTTGTAGCTACAGTTAGAGTAAGAGGTAGATGGGAAAAGAGGAAGGTGGCAACAACAAGTAAGAGGGAGGTGAAAGTGTATAAACTAAGGGAGGAAGGTGGGCTAGTGCAAAGATGAGTAGTGGGGGGGTTGAAGAGGGTTGGAATAGTTTTAAAAATGCAGTATTAGAATGTGGGGCAGAAGTTTGTGGTTATAGGAGGGTGGGGGCAGGAGGAAAGAGGAGTGATTTGGGGGAATGATGAAGTAAAGGGTGTGATAAAAGAGAAAAAGGTAGCTTACGAGAGGTTTTACAAAGCAGAAGTGTTATAAGAAGAGCAGAGTATATAGAGAGTAAAAGAAAGGTGAAGAGAGTGGTGAGAGAGTGCAAAAGGAGAGCAGATGAAAGAGTGGGAGAGGCACTGTCAAGAAATTTTAATGAAAATAAGAAAAAATTTGGAGTGAGTTAAACAAGTTAAGAAAGCCTAGGGAAAGTATGGATTTGTCAGTAAAAACAGAGTAGGGGAGTTAGTAGATGGGGGAGAGGGAGGTATTAGGTAATGGTGAGAATATTTTGAGGAACTTTTAAATGTTAAGGAAGAAAGGGAGGCGGTAATTTCATGCACTGGCCAGGGAGGTATACCATCTTTTAGGAGTGAAGAAGAGCAGAATGTAAGTGTGGTGGAGGTACGTGAGGCATTACGTAGAAAGAAAGGGGGTAAAGCAGCTGGAACTGATGGGATCATGACAGAAATGTTAAAAGCAGGGGGGGATATATAGTGTTGGAGTGGTTGGTACTTTTGTTTAATAAATGTATGAAAGAGGGGAAGGTACCTAGGGATTGGCGGAGAGCATGTATAGTCCCTTTATATAAAGGGAAAGGGGACAAAAGAGATTGTAAAAATTATAGAGGAATAAGTTTACTGAGTATACCAGGAAAAGTATACGGTAGGGTTATAATTGAAAGAATTAGAGGTAAGACAGAATGTAGAATTGCGGACGAGCAAGGAGGCTTCAGAGTGGGTAGGGATGTGTAGATCAAGTGTTTACATTGAAGCATATATGTGAACAGTATTTAGATAAAGGTAGGGAAGCTTTTATTGCATTTATGGATTTAGAAAAGGCATATGATAGAGTGGATAGAGGAGCAATGTGGCAGATGTTGCAAGTATATGGAATAGGTGGTAAGTTACTAAATGCTGTAAAGAGCTTTTATTGAGGATAGTGAGGCTCAGGTTAGGGTGTGTAGAAGAGAGGGAGAATACTTCCCGGTAAAAGTAGGTCTTAGACAGGGAAGTGTAATGTCACCATGGTTGTTTAATATATTTATAGATGGGGTTGTAAAAGAAGTAAATGCTAGGGTGTTTGGGAGATGGGTGGGATTAAATTATGGGAATCAGATTCAAAATGGGAATTGACACAGTTACTTTTTGCTGATGATACTGTGCTTATGGGAGATTCTAAAGAAAAATTGCAAAGGTTAGTGGATGAGTTTGAGAATGTGTGTAAAGGTAGAAAGTTGAAAGTGAACATAGAAAAGAGTAAGGTGATGAGGGTGTCAAATGATTTAGATAAAGAAAAATTGGATATCAAATTGGGGAGGAGGAGCATGGAAAAGTGAATGTTTTCAGATACTTGGGAGTTGACGTGTCGGCGGATGGATTTATGAAGGATGAGGTTAATCATAGAATTGATGAGGGAAAAAAGGTGAGTGGTGGTTTGAGGTATATGTGGAGTCAAAAAACGTTATCTTTTGGAGACAAAAAAGGGAATGAAATTGAAAGTTTTAGTAGTACCAACACTCTTATGTGGATGTGAAGCTTGGGTGGTAAATGCGGGCAGCGAGGAGACGGTTGGAGGCAGTGGAGATGTCCTGTCAAAGGGCAATGTGTGGTGTAAATATTATGCAGAAAATTCGGAGTGTGGAAATTAGGAGAAGGTGTGGAGTATAAAAGCATTAGTCAGAGGGCAGAAGAGGGGTTGTTGGGGTTTGGTTTGGTCATTTAGAGAGAATGGATCAAAGTAGAATGACATGGAAAGCATAAAAATCTATAGGGGAAGGAAAGAGGGGTAGGGTCGTCCTCGAAAAGGTTGAAAGAGGGGGTAAAGGAGGTTTTGTGGGCGAGGGGCTTGGACTTCCAGCAAGGTGCATGAGCGTGTTAGATAGGAGTGAATGGAGACGAATGATACTTGGGACCTGACGATCTGTTGGAGTGTGGCAGGGTAATATTTAGTGAAGGATTCAGGGAAACCGGTTATTTTCATATAGTCGGACTTGAGCCCTGGAAAGGGGAAGTACAATGCCTGCACTTTAAAGGAGGGGTTTGGGATATGGCAGTTTGGGGGGATATGTTGTGTTTTCTTTATACGTATATGCTTCTAAAACTGTTGTATTCTGAGCACCCCTGCAAAAAAAAGTGATAATGTGCGAGTGTGGGAAAGTGTTGAATGATGATGAAAGTATTTTCTTTTTGGGGATTTTTTTCTTTTTTGGGGTCACCCTGCCTCGGTGGGAGATGACCGACTTGTTGAAAAAAAAAAAAAAAAAAAAAAATTTGGTGCCTGCCACACAAGTATAAATATGCTAATGTAAATTTTTTTAGTACTATATTGTACACAGTTTTTCAACATTTGCCCAAAGGGGATGCAAATAGGCCTTCCTTAACATAAATTACTTTTTGGGTTTAGAAAAAATTTAAAGATTATATAGTGTTTTAGTTATAAAATAAAAATGAAAAAAATTCCCATTAAAAGTTATGCAAGATCAAAAGTTAAACATATCTTAATTAAGACTTCAAAGTTTATGGATTGCAGATGCCCCCTTTGTTTTTTTCATCCCTAGGGAAAAAACTTTTTTGCTTTCATATGTTGAATTAACACTGCAGTATGTAATGAGTTTAATGTCTAATTTCAATTTCTTTTTTAATTTTTAAACCCCTTTCGGGTCCAGAGGCCAAATTTAAAAGTGTGCACCGGGCCCAAGAATTTTCAAAAAACAATTTTGTTTTTTTTCTATGAAATGATAGGAATTTTTTTTCTGAAGGTAAAAAAAAAAAAAGTACGAAATTTGATGAAATTATGCTCTTATGAATTTTGATGTCCCGGCGATTTTTGCATCGACGATTTTGCCGATTTGGGGACTCCTTTTTGGGCCAAAATTAAGTTTTCCCAGTCAACCAAATTCTTAGCTTTTCACAGTTTATTCTATTCTTCGATTGGAAAAGAAATCCCCAAGTCAATGTTTAAACGACAAAAAAAGGGGGGGGGGGGGACGGAAATTGGAAATTTTGGGCCCAATTTATTGAAAAGTTCAAAAACCCCAGTTTCAAAATGGGGTCCAAATAAAAATGCAGGCATTCCTGGCACTAAACAAACATTCCTCTGTTATTAGTTTTGTTTTCAGGGTTTAAAAATGAATTCCTTTTTG